TTTTGCGTATATTATAAATACAATATCACGACATTTCGTTGCAAAATTTTTATTTTTGGTCGGGTTCCGTTGTATGGCTTCGATGGATACAAATTTTTTCAGTAAGTCTCAATACGATTCATCGGCGAAAAATCTCAACACAGCAATTCAGAAAAGTTTGTAATTTGTACAACTCCATCTATTACGTCCTTTGTGTGAGAAAACATCCTATCTCTTTTTGTGTTTTAAGTATAAATATATTAATTATTATGGAACGTTTTTTTTACACAGAAATCTTTTTATTACTATTTCTTAGATTTTATGGCGCCATTGAACAAATTCGAACCTACATTTCAAAATAATAATCATTACTTTCGATAGAATGAACCAATTTTAATAAAACAAAGATTAAATGTAACTCAAAGATACGCTTTATGATATTCTTAACGATTTCTTTGAAAATAAAAGATGTTTACTTTAGACGTGATGCGTTCATATAATAACCGACAAATAGACAGACAGGCAATTCTAAAAATTATAAAATGTTCTTATTTAATTATTTTCAGTTCCCCATAATGATTTTAGCCACCAAAATATATATACAATGTACAGAAAGAGACACAACATGTTATCATCATTTTTATTATATATATATATTTAAAGAGAGATGGCGCTGCTAACATCATCAATTCTAAAAATAAAAGAGATTAATTGACGCGATTGATACATTATATAAAACGTAAAGGAACTTATAAATCAGTGCCTGCACAGTAAACAAAAAATAAAGTTTGACTCTCGCCAAAACCAATGCAATTGTTAATAGCTCTTTTAAAATTTGATTTACCACATAGAGTACTCGGCGGTAAAGAATAAATTGAGTTTGTCAACACGCAGTAGGGCAGCGAGTAATATAATAAAGATTAGCAGTAAATATGAAACTCATCTACAGGAAAAAACCACATTTGCAATTGCATTACATTTTCACAACACCACCATCTATCGAAGAAATGGGTTAACTATTGTGCTTCAGATTTAGATAATAAGGTTAATATATTTTTGTATAATATATTTAATACGTTCTTTATTACTTTTGTTTACTGCGTTTTAGATATACATAATTATATCATTATTTTACATAATTTAACTATGATTTATGATATGATATTAGTTTAAAATGCACTTGATGACTCAAACAAAGCCACAGCTGAGCAAATTCGTACCTATACTTCCCTACCCATACTTCAGAATATTTATCATAACTTTTGATGGAATGAACTGATTTTAATGAAATAAAGACTAAATGTAACCCGAAGATACACTTTATAATTTCCTTAACAATTCTTATGATATAAATTAGTACTTTATACGTGATACGTTAACAAACAAACAGACAGACAGACAGAAAATTCTAAAAATGGTAGAAATGTATTTAATTACTTATTTTTAGTACCCCTCAATCACTTTTATTACAAAAATATAAAATGTACAGACATCTGCTATTTACAGTTTTATTATATGTATATAGATTAGCAAATACAAATAAATTAATTACTAGCGGCTATTAAACAGAAGCGTCATTGAAAAAAATATATATTTCTTTAATGGCAAGATACGAAAAGTGCGAGGGAGATGGATGTTACTCCATCTCGCTTCCTTATAGCCACCAAGGCCGTCTACACTACGTCAGAAGGGGTTGTGATGGAAAAATCTTACACTTTTTCTCGTCTAGCCCCCATCCGCCAAATTCGTACCATCCGATAAGGAACTTCGTTCCAAAAAGTTTCAGGAGTCAGGAAAGAGTTTGGATTTCTCACGTTATAGAAATTGGTTTAAATTATCTGATATGTATTCTAACCCATCGTTGCCAAACACGCAGTCGGTTAGTGTATAATATAAATTATATTAGAAAATAATAAAAATTAAAAAAAAATCGAAAACATGTCAGATATGTTCCTGGAGTAGAAAGCCTTAAATAACACCAGGTAACCACCCCATTCGTATTTTATTTGTAAAATGATCGGCAAATAATTCACCCCCGTGTCTGGAGGGTTGGCAAACAAAGTGAGCGGAGTTTAAGGGTTAAGTGAACAAAAGTTTAGACAGGGTGCGTGATGTTAATATTAATCATTTCTGCAACTGCGAAACAAGATCGAGATAAGCTTCGTATATATGTATGTTGTAAAGCGATTTTTAATGTCTTTAAATGTTTAGTAATGATTTGTGGCACAAATATCCAGTTTCTTAAAGTCCCAGAAAATATGCAGGACTTATCTATCAAAAAGTTTATAATACAAAAATTGTTTAATAAGGGTAATTATACTACTAACAATGAGTTATATGAACTACGTACGTAGTACATATAACTCAATGACTACTAATGAGTATATGATTTATATGTGGTAGAGCCATGCAGTCGAAACGTCAAAATATCCAAATAAGTTAAAATTAAACGCGATAAAATGGGTCAAATTAAATAGTTGAATTCAATCAAGATTTTACGTGGTAGAGACATGCTGCAGCTATATTAGTAGTATAGTTGTAGCACGAATGGTTCGGCTCGACCGGGGAAGGACCACGCTCTCACAGAATACCAGCGTAAAATAGCAGTTTAGCACTGCTGTGTTTCGTATGGTGAGTGTAAAGAACCGGATACCCTTTTTACTGGAAAAGAAGCATTCCATCTTAGTCCTCACGGGTGACAACGCAACTACATTTTGATTCGCAAACGAGGATAAATGTACTAATGTAGGTGGACTGTGTGCTCGTTTGTTACCCTATCCTATAAAAAAATTATTGATAATAACTACTGGGAATGATCGCTACCACATGCTGTGAAATATTTTCATACTTAATTGTATAAACTAATTATATAGTTAATTAATGTTTAAAAAAAATCCCTCTAGGTTTCTTACTGGTTCTTCCCAGGATAGAGGTTTTTTTTCCGAACCAGTGGTATCTAAAGCTTAAATGATTTTTGAAAAATGTTCTTGTAATGTATCTAATATACCTATATAAATTAATTTTTGTTTGTTCGTATTTTATGCGCCGCCATACCGTTCATCAGCTTGCGGTAAAACTTTATCAACTTATTGCTTGCACTTGCGCGAAGGTTGTAGGCATAGTGCAATTAACTTACAGCAGGTGGCGCGCGTACCGCAACAACAAATTTCTTTTAAAATTATACCTAAGTATATCCACATACAATTTCAGTGAATGTATTATCGGAGTTTTGGCGGGAAATTGACCGGCGGCGGTTTGCTGCTCCTGTATTATTGTTTAAATAATGGTTTGAAGTGGACTTTGATATGTAAAAGTGTTGTGATTTTGTGTATTAAGTGTCTACGCATGTGAACTATTAGTGGAAACAGTGAAACAAGTGCTCTGATGGTGATGGGTTCTCAAGATAAGCTGTTTGTTTGCATAGGCACCTTTAGATACCATCGCCAACTATCAGCTGTCTGCTGGATCAAGTTGCCGCCAAAATCTCCCAAGAACTGCACAATGTGACGCATCAACATATTGTGAAGCAGTATACTATGAAGGAGTGGGGAAATTACAATAAACCGAATAAAAATACTTAAGACTTGGCCTAAAGGTCTAGATACCAGGCCATAAACTCCAAAAAAAAAAATAGAATGTATTATCATTCCTAAATAAACAATATAACTCTTCCAAATTTAATTATTTTTTCTGCGTCAGCAACGCTCCGGGTACCAGCTAGTATTGAATAAAAATTATTCTATTCTATTCTATGAATTTACATAAAAGGAATAATTCAAACTTTTAATAGAATTTATACATTTAATAAATTGTAGCCTATCAGCCATTATTGACGATGAACTTTTACCATTTTTTTTTTTGGAATAAAATAGAATATTTTTTTTATTCAATATAGATTTAATTGATAGATGTAAGTAGTTCTTATTGAAAGACAGTTTTTACTTTTACCACTGGTTCGAAAAAACCTCTGACCTAGGAAGAACGAGCAAGAAACCCAGCGGGACTTTTTTGGAAGTTCACTGATTCTTCCGTTATTAAAATCCTGAGGAAGGGAATGGGTGAATTCTTTAAAGCGTTTTCCACCGCCCTATTGGAATTCTAATGTATATTTATACGACGGTATGTAATGCACTGTTGCCATGACGAAACTCATATTCGAAAAGAACCCGAGTTTTCCATTCTTCATTGTTCGTAGACACATCGATAACAAGGAAAATCGGCGGGAATACAGATTTATATAAAAATGTTGCTTTCATGTAATGGTATTAATTCGAATATGGAACTCGAGTATGAATTCAAAATATCGAACTTCAAAATAAAAATCGATTTAAAAATTGACAATTAGGTATTTGATACATCAGTAAATTGAAATATATTTTAACGGTTATTAAAACAAACATTTCCATAAAATTTTTATGAAATTATTCAAAACATTATAATATTTTTATTTGTTGACTTGTTGTTACCGCTAACGACTGCAAATTATTATTATTTTTAATTTTGCTGTATATGAAAATTTGCATATGTTATCGGTTGTATATTTTTGATAACGTTTTTTAAATAAATTAAATACTTAAAGGTAAGTACGTGGTAGAGCCATGCTGCAGCTATATTACTGGTATAGTTGTAGCACGAATCTGTCAGCTCTACCGGGGAAGGACTACGCTCTCACAGAACACCAGCGTAAAATAGCAGCTTAATGCTGCTGTGTTTCGTATGGTGAGTGTAGAGAACCGGAGGCCCATTTTACTGGAACCATCTTAGTCCTCATGGGTGACAACGCATCTGCATTTTGATTCGCTAACGATGTAGATGTCTATGGACCACAGCAACCACTTACCATCAGGTGGACTGCGTGTTCGTTTGACACCCTTATTCTATAACAAAAAAAGAAAAAAAGTGGTTGTTGCAAGGAATCGAACCTAGGTTGCTCGCTTACTGTACAATTTACGACGGGTGATTAACAACCCAAGATTTAACATATTAAAACAAATGGAAGACAATTATCCTGATATGTTTACCTGCGCCTGCGTGAACAGCACCCTTCTTTTCCGCCGCTGCGCGAGCGGGAACTGCATGGGCTTGGCATCGGGCCCCGCGCACGCTGCCAGCCCGCCCATGTTGTTCACGTGGCCCATGCCGCCGGACGTCGACGTCATCAGCCTGGAAACTGAAGCAGCCGCTCAGATACGCACAACTTTAGGCTACTACTAGGCGACTCGACAGTATCACCTAGGATATCATACAAGCTATAACAGCTTATTTCACCCCTTCGATTTTTCTAAAATCCTTTCTTAGTGGCTGTGTATATCTAAAAAGGAGTATATATGCAAAATTTCATATCAATCGGGCGTATAATTTTGTAGATCTCTTGATGAGTGTATGTCAGTGGTATTTCCCTTATACCTCTACCTAAGTATATATAAAAATCAATTGTTGTTCATTAGTCTCGCAAAAACTCAAAAATGGCTCGACCGATTTTCATGAATGAAAAAAAAATTGTGTTAGAGTGGGTCCCTGGATGGTTAACATTCACAATTTGACCCGGTAGGTGGCGCTGTTGTCGAGATCCAGAAACCACCCGTGCAAGCCCGGGCGGATCGCTAGTCTAATGAAATCTATTGTATAAATATTAATAAATATTTATATAATAGATTTCTATATTATATTGAGCTGAGGGGTTATCTGCATGCTATTAAGACATGAATAACTATTTTTAATTTATGTACGTTCGTATATAGATTAGGTGTTATACTTCAGGAGTCATCATCATCATCATCATCACAGCCCTTCACAAGTCCACTGCTGAACATAGGCCTCCCCCAAGGAATGCCACAAGCACTGCTCGCCGTATGAGGAAGCTCAAAGTCACTCAGCGAGCTATGGAGAGGACAACGCTCGGGGTTCTCTGCGTGATAGACTTGAAAACGAGGATATCTGCAGTAGAACCAGAGTGACCGACATAGCGCAAAGAATTAGTATGCTGAAGTGGCAATGGGCCAGCCATATAGCTCGAAGAACCGACAACCGATGGGGAAGAAAGGTTCTCGAGTGGCAGCCTCGTACTGGCAGGCGAAGTGTAGGGCGTGTCCTCCACTAGATGGAGTGACGACCTGGTAAGACATGCAGGAAGTCGATGGATGCAGGTGGCTCGGTACCGTACTTTGCTGCGTACTTCAGGGGTGATCCCATATAAATTTGGAAAAACTCCATTTTAAAGTAATTATTTAGTCGATAGTGAGATTGTGATATTCCTTAATCCACTGAAAAAGGTCAAAAATAACTTTTAATAATAGTAAAAGCCGCGTTCAAATAACTTACAAGTGGTAAAATTAAATATTTTGTACAACTGACTTCAATATACATAAAACAATTTATTGTTTTTTTTTAACCGTTCCACCGATTTCGATAACATTTAAATGGGACCACCTGGGAAGTGTCTATGAAACAAAGTCTATATAGTCTTTGAAACAAAAAAAAAAAAGAATTTTCCAAATCGGTTCAGTAGGCGTCTTCGAGTAATCGGTGAACGTACATAAAAATAATTTAAAATTATTTTTTTTAGAACCGACATCAATATAAATTATTAAGGATAAATCAAAAAATTTGGTCATACCTTGATCAAATTTTTATGGGACCACATAAGAAGCACCAGCTTTCAAATAAAAAAAAAGAATCATTGAAATTGGTTCACCAAGAAAAAACTTATGAGGTGACACACATAAAAAAAGAACATACAGTTGAATTCAGTACCTCCTCTTTTTTGAAGTCGAAGTTGTAGAAGAACTGAGTTGCGAGACTTGTTTTTTTTTTACAAGTTATGTTTTTGATGGCATACTGTTTCTGGTTAAGTGTAGAGTTCACCATAGGTGGCCGTAGGGGATACGTCACGATTACAAATTTACTTTTGTGTACTATATTGCTAATAATTGCCAGACAATGATTAATTCAAAATAGCGTCACAGTCAATATATAGGAGGCGCTTTAAAAGGTTAGGATGATTACTTTATATAGCCTATTTTAGTAGAAATAGGGTTTGTAAAACAAAACAATACGCATTCATATAATTATATATTCCAGCGGCTTAAATTGTATAAAATTCATAAGAACTTGAAACAAAAATGATCCTATAATACACAAATTATACACAGACGTTCAAAGCAATGACGCCTTCAGATAAAATGTAATAACGTAGACAGATAAAAAATTATGATGGAAAATGATGATAACTTAAAGTGAAATTTTACAATTTTAATTACATTGTCACAAACGTCCCAGCGCGTCCCATTATCATTACATAAAAAAAGGAATTAATAACGACATGAAAAAATTAAACTCCTCGCGCTGGCTACGCTTAAGTGTCAGCCCGCCATTTTCGCTAATGACACTAGACATTTCCCGCGCTACGAACGTTGCAGAGCTTTATTTTTCACAGATTAAAATAGCGTTTTTTATATTGAAAGTGGAGTATAAGTTTCTTTATATAGCAAACTTAAAATTAAAACGCTTATAATACATAATATTATGCATATTAAAGCTTAAAAAATAAATAATAAACTAAGCTGGGTTGGGAAAAGTACAGAGAAAGAAATTTTCTTATTAATGAAAGAAAACGTGTTAAAGGCATGTCAATTTTGCATACGGGTAATGTCTTCCCAACCGATTTCAATTAAAGCAATAACTTCGATACATACGCCTGAGCTCATATTTATCTAATAAAAATATGAAATCCTTGGTGTTCAAGCGATAGCGTTCTGCAAAGCTGGGTGCACTTCTAACTTCAAAACATCTTTATTATCAACTCTTAGGTTGACCATTTTCCACTTCAGACTACGCCTTTATTTTGGATTTTGTTTAATTAATGTCTAAGAAGCTTAAGGATTATCAGCGACAGTTATTCAAACAATAATGCAAAGAAGGAGGCCTTCAGGGTTAGTAAGAGTTGTTGTAACTTAAAAAGTATTTTTGACTCATCTACGAGAAGATCAGTAATCAAAATATTGTTATCCAGAGTTAGGTGGCGGGGAAGCTAAGCCATAATTACTTACTCCGATATTCGGATTCATTGAATAACTTTTGCCTAGTTTCTATAGTTTAAATACGTTTCGGTTTCCTCAACGTATTGCAGAGCATAAGAAAAGTGCATAGAGAAAATTATAAAACAAAATGCTGGCCAACAACTTGCTACCGCTTATATATTTTTCTTTTTAAGTCGTAAGCTTTCGAACGAATTTTACATCCACTTAGTGTATAAGTAAAAACTGAACGTAATGGAGATGGAGAAGGATTTGACAAACTTACACGCCTTTAACTGCCCGAGAAAATTTTTTTTTTTTTTTTCTTATATTTACGCGAACACTACACATTTTTAAATAAAACTAATTTTACGGATTTTATCGCGTATATTAACTTATTTTTATATTCCCGACGTTTCGGGTGCTTTCCAGCACCCGTGGTCACGGGGGACTGAGTTGTTTGACGTCCTACTGTCATAGTTAGCCCGGCTACCTTCAGTTTTTTAATATTAATTTTTGGTTCGATTTACGCAGAATGAGCTTACAGTATCTTGAAGTCTAGCAGTGGTATACTTGGGTTTGGATTTGATTTTATTAATTATGGGATCCCAAGCAGATGGCAGCACCCATCCATCTTCTCTATTGAAATTAGGATGTTTTTTAATTTCAATAGCCTCGCGAATCATCCTTGGGAGGAATCGGTGTTCTTTTGCAAGGATTTTTGGTCTATCAAATCTAATGTAATGACGGGGACGATCCTGAACATGTTCACAAACTGCAGACTTCCCGATACGTCGGTGCTTCACGTCAGCTATATGTTCTTTAACGCGGGTTTTAATAGATCTTTTTGTTTGTCCTATGTACGAGAGACCACATTCACAATCCAGCTTGTACACTCCTGCATCTTGTAGAGGGATATGACACTTGACGGATGGTAAAAATTGACCAATCTTCTTCAGCGGCTTGAAGTATGTTTTAATGGAAGCTCGCTTCAAGATGTAGCCAACCTTGTCTGTGACTCCTCTGACATAGGGTAGTACAGCAGGCACACGCTCGACTGTGGCTGGCTTCACTCGGTCACTGTGACGTAGGCGCGGGACCCGAAGCTTGTTGTCTTGCAGTACTTGCTCGACGTGCTGAAGCTCGGCGGCCAGATGTTTTCTGTCACAGATCCCTCGTGCTCTCTGAAACAAAGATTTTCCCACGGTAGCTAACTGTGAAGGATGATGGTGAGATTCACCATTTAAATATCGGTTGGTATGGGTATTTTTTCTGTACACAGTATGACCAATAGTGTTATCAGGATTTCTGATGACTAAAACATCTAGAAAAGCTAAAGTATTGTTTGCCTCTAACTCCATTGTGAATTGTATTTTAGGGTTTATGGAATTAAGGTGGTTTAAAAATGCAGTTACTTTGTCAGATGGTAAAATTGTGAAAGTATCGTCTACGTACCGCTTGTAGAATCTTGGATTTACAGGAGCAGTAAGAAGGGCTTTCTCCTCAAAGTCCTCCATGAATATGTCGGCGACTACGGGAGATACAGGTGAGCCCATTGCCACTCCGTCTACTTGCATGTAGAACTCTTCTTTCCACAATAAATAGCCAGATGTGAGGCAGTGTTTGAGTAATACTGCATATTCTGTAGGCATGTTGTTATCTTCTAGCTTTCTAGTAACAATTGAGATGCAGTCTTCAATAGGTAGGCATGTGAATAGTGACTGAACATCAAAACTGACCATAGTTTCATTGTCAGCGAGATGTAGGTCTTTAATCTCACTAACAAATTGGTATGAATCCTTTGTGTGTGCTCTGGTATGTCCTCTTAGTGGTGACAGTATTTTTGCCAAGTGTTGAGCCAACTTATAAGTTGGTGAATCGATCTGGCTTACTATAGGACGTAGTGGAGCGTTTGGTTTGTGTATTTTCGGTAACCCATACAACCTCGGTGGTTTGGCACATGATGGTATTGTCGAATTCACGTCAAGATCTAAATACTCCGAAAAATTAGATCTTGACGTGAATTCGACAATACCATCATGTGCCAAACCACCGAGGTTGTATGGGTTACCGAAAATACACAAACCAAACGCTCCACTACGTCCTATAGTAAGCCAGATCGATTCACCAACTTATAAGTTGGCTCAACACTTGG